GTAGAAAACCCTTGGCCAAGAAGTCTCTGAAAGTACTATCATTTTCTGATTGGAGCAGTGGTTTAAGGTTAGCGGATTCTGGATTTAGGTACATGACTATTTCCATCCTGTCTGAGTGTGGCCTGTGCCCCTGGGTCTTGATCATCTGAGGCAAGTCCCCAGTTCCCAGCTCCTATATTGTGTTTTGACTTTGTTAAAGTAACTGATTTTATTTTATATATGTTTCGCCTTAGTTTTTAAAGGTTAAATTCAATAAAGTGATAAGTTCTTTTCCTTACATTTTTAGTGTTAACACTAAAACAACAATTTGCTCTTAACTATTATTAACTGTACTGTTCAGTGGTATTAAGTATATTCCCAGTGTAATACAGTTGCAACTACTATTTCCTAATTCTTTTCCTCTTGCAAAACTGAAACTTTATACCCATTAACTAGCTCTCTCTTTATCCCAATCTATAGCACCTAGAAAGCTACCTTTACATTGTCTGTCTCTGTATTTGACTAAATTCTATGCGTTATTACCTGGTATCAAAGCTCAGGACACCACAAGCAAATTAGACCAGTATCCCTTATAAACATGTGTGTAAAAATCCTCAACAAAACAGTAAAGGCATACTGTTTTCATGCCTGTCTCACATAAAATCTTTAGGGGTTTGTCTGTTTGTTTTGTTGTGTTTGCATCTTTAAGATGGCTGTTTTAAAGTAGATCTGCCATAATTTTTCCTCCCTAGGACAATTTCTGTTCAATTGTTTGTTGTTGTTTTTTCAAATTGTGTTCTTCAGATATGGACTTACTGACTTACACAATCATGTTATCGAGCAAGTAAGTTGGGGAAATCCTGCATATTGTGTTCTCCATGAAGACATTTCACAATGCTCATTAAATTATGAGGCACTGAAGGAACCTGCCTAATCTAGTGTTACTAAAGCTTGCTTAAATTTCCTCTCCCTTCCTTTTGAAATATCCCCTTTCATGGAACTACTAAGCACAGTGTGAGAAATGCTACTGTCGATTATTAAAGTTCTTTCTAGCCATGCAGTATGACATGAGCTAAGGCATTGCTAGTTCAGATAGGTACTAGTGTATGAGGAGTTCAAATCAATTGCCCTTGGAAAGGGATAGACTAATAGGCATCTTCAAAATTATTTTTATTATTGCCATATCTGCCAGTCAAGGTAAGGCTTACATGAAGGGGTTAAACTGTATTATAACTGCTCATTGTTGTGCCTCCTGTGTTTTGTTTATGAAAAAATATTGAAAGATAAAGGATTATTTTTAGTTTTACAGTTAATATGTTTTAAAGTCAATTAAGGATCTTCTGAAGATAGCCTTTAAAATATCTTACATAGCAAATATATATTATTCTAATTGAACAAATAGAAACTTTGTAAAGGTAAATGTTCTCTTTAACTTCAAAACTTCTAAGTTCCAAAATTTGCACCTGAGGCCACTTCTTTGACCCTTTAACACAGTCTCTTTCACAGATTTTCTTGTTATTGACAGTGAACAGAAGCACAGTAATGTTATCATTAAGAGAGCCTTTAAACTTCTATTTTTTTCTTCCTGAAATAGGTTTTTTCATTAATAGTGTCCTGTAATATTAATATCAGCCAGGAGTCTCCCTTTAATTGTTTGTCCCACTAACCATATCACCTCTCTCATGTTTCCCTGACCCAGGATTCTCAGGAAGGAATTGAGTTCCTGTTCCTCCCTTGCCTCAGAATTATCGCAAGGACTGAGACTGATTCTAAGCACAGGGGCTTCACGACCCTCTCTGTGTTGTTTGTTGTATGTCTGGATCTCCTTTTGTCTCCTTAGTTTCCCCTATTGATTTGATAGCTATCCATTAAGAGAGAGAATAGACCAGAAAGCTTCCATTAGTGTTAGATGACTTACTATAGTAATTACATTAGCTAATTTAGCTAATGAGTATTGACTATCATTTCTACTTTACCCAGTGGCTGTCATGGGATACTGTGACTATAGTGTACATTGGATAAAAAGTCATGCTGATGAACACTTATGATTGCATGTGTGAGCGTAATATATTACCTCTCCTTGGTTTTGACATTTTAAGTTACGCTGGTGAAGAAATGCATTTTTCCCACTTTGTGCTCTTATAACTTAGTAAAACCTTTCAGCAGACTTATATCTTATTAGATTTGATTAAGAAAATAGTATTTCAGATGAAAATCTTTTACAAATCACCACCCCAGTGAAATTTTCTACAGATACATTTTTAAATACCCATAATATTTATTTATTTTTAGGTTCTTTTTTTTAAAATTGGACTTTTTGTGATTTTCATACAATATAATTTGATGGTATTTAGATCCCCTCCCCTGTCTGTGTCTCCGAATGTCTTTCAGTGTGTGTCCATCAACTTGAGGCTTGTTAACCTGCCAAGAATTGCCTGCTTAGAGGAGACTCTCTCTGCCCCATCCCAGCAGCCATCAGTTGCCACAGTCTCCTTAGGTGGGGTTCCTGTGTCTATGGTAGAATTTTCTCTGCTTTGAGCTGGCATGGCACTTGTGCATGTGGTCACCATTGCTGTGAGTTCATATGCGTACCTGACCAGATATCTGTAAAACTCTGATTCCTTGTGGTCATCCACCACCTCTGGCTTTACAATCTTTCCACCCCCTCTTCTGATCTTTTAGCCTTGGGAGGCAGAAGTCTGATATAGGTGTCTTATTCAGGGATAAGCACTCTGCAGCCTCTTGTTCTCTGCACATTGACTAGTTGTGGGTTTCTTTGTTAATCACCATCTGCTACATAAGGAAGCTTCTCTGGTGAGAGCTAAGAGATGTGTTAATCTACAGGTATAATATTAAGTCATTAAAAGTCAGTTTAATATGATAACTGTTTAATAGAAAACTAGTATTAGGTTTACCCCTATGCCCTGTGACCTGTCTAGCCTTGGGATCCTAAGCCTTATACCAATGTCAGATATCTTTTTTTTTTAGTTTAGGCTGTCAATAGAAATTATAATAATAATATCCAGCCCTCAAAGTACCAACAGTTACTTCTGACATGAATGAATACCCTGTGTAAAGAAATGTGCACAAGATTCCCCTTCCTTACAAGTTATCATATAAATATTATTTCTCTTGTATCCTAAACAAGCTATAAACATATAGTAAAATATTTTAAAGTAGCAAATTGTACAGAAAGCCAAATTAGAGGGAAAGGAATTTGGAACTAGATTTGGAAGAAAGAAAAAATGAGGGTGAAATAACTGAATTGTGTGTACCTGCGTTTGCAGTATTGAGCATTGATTCTGGGGCCTTGTGGGCTAAGCCAGTGCTGCCCCACTGAGTTACCCCCAGCTCTTTTCAATTTTATTTTGACAGTCTCTTGCTAAATTGCTGCACCTAAATTTGAGCTTGCAGTCTTACCTCAGCCTCCTGAGTAGCTGAGATAACAGGAGTGTGCCAGCACACTGAACCCATATTCCTTACTTATAAAAATAAAGCTACAGTTAGTAAGACTGTTTTTTTAACAGCTTTATGTGACTAGACCATCATTTGGAGCTGATTCTGTATGAATTGCCCAAGCCTAAGTGGCACGTCTATAATGTAACCTCTACACCTAAGGCTCACAGAACAGAACAGGGGTAAAGAGGACACTAATGAATCTCTCAATTCTCATTAATGGAGCTCCTTCATGCAACAAAGGGCCAGAAACACAAAAGGTCACAAATGGCCAAAGCATACAAATTAAGAGTCTGCAGAATGCTGGTCCTTGGACAGGATTCCTATATTAAACTTCACCTACCCAGGGCTCAGTGAGCATTGTGGAAGAGGGGGCAGAAAGATTGTAAGAATCAGGGAAGAGGTGCATGACCACATAGAAATGGAGTCCTACAAGCTCCTGGGACCCTGCTCAAATGCATCTGTGGCAATAGTGTCAGCATACATAAGTCTCATGCAAACTCAAGCAGATAAAAACCCAGCATAGAACTGGGGAAATGGACAATAGACCCCAATCTTAGCTGAAGAAATATTAGCAGCTGATTGCTGGGTAAGGAAGTTCTGATCTTCCTAAAGCAAGGAACTCTAGATAGGCTGACTAGACCTCAGTAGATGAACTTGAACTGAGGAATGTCTGGGGACACTAACTTGACATAATAAGCCTTAAGACAAATGTCAGAATGTATGAATTTTGGTGGGGGGGGGCTATATGACTGCAACAGTGGGGAAGGGGGTACAAAAATGATTAAGATTGATTGAGATGTTTTGTATGAAATACACAAAATTTCAAAAAAAGTAAAAAATACCATATTTTAAAAAATGTTAGCCTATTAAAAGCTGGAATATATACGTGTGTGTGTGTGATAAATGTTATATATAATGGTGCTAGAGACTGAATCAGCCTTGCTTAAATGAGTAGATTTAATGTAAACTTCTTAATTAGCTAAGTACAAAGTACACGAAAATATGTAGCTAGAAAGTGTGCAAAAGTTTTCAGTGTCCCCCATCATTCTATTCCAGGCCTTCTGTCTTAATAATCTCATGATCCTGCATCATTATCAAATGCCATTTTTCTAATAAATAGTGGTATGTGAAAAAAATTTACAAAGATTTTAATACAGTAGATAAATACTTGGCTTCATTTGATACTCACAGGAGAGTGATATAATTATGTTGTTCAATAGATGGTTTTACTGTTTATGCTGTTTTTAGACCATGAAAAAAAAATTTTCTACAGTTTGGGTATTGGCTGAATCTTAGTCATTTTGTCACTATTTCTAATGTAGACCATTGAAGGCACTATTTATAACTTGATCTGAGTTTCTTAATTCTATGTTTAAATGTGCACATTGGTTATATATTATTTTTTGTTCTGTTTTTAATCACAACAGTGACAAGCTTCTGAGCGAGCGTGCATAGTCTGGGTATATGATCTGTCCTCCGTGGTTTGCTCTTCTTACATTCATTCTTCTTCAGTACTTTTCCTTTTGTGAGGTTATACTAATGTTGACTGTTTTTCCCTGCAGCATGGATTTGTGGGATCATCTCTATCACCGTCATTAGCCTGCTTTCCTTGCTAGGTGTGATTTTGGTCCCTATCATTAACCAAGGATGCTTCAAATTCCTTCTCACATTCCTTGTTGCTCTGGCTGTGGGGACAATGAGTGGTGATGCCCTTCTTCATCTACTGCCCCATGTAAGAAAGTTTTATAATTTTACAATAAAGTATAGAAGCATTTAAGTTGAAAGGTTCTTCAGTATTCAACTGCAGCAGTGCTAGCATATATTTTGTAAATTTTTATTTGCATGTTAGTTAAAGCTTGTTTTTTTTCTATTTTCACCATTTTAATTGCAATACTTTTTAAGTCAGCTCAATCATTAGGTTTTCAAATAAAATCAAGAAGTAACATATCATCTTACCTGTGTAGCATATTAAGAAACCTTTAGAAGAAATGTCTAAGGTATGTCATAATTGCTGTGCATATAGCCACGGAGGTATAGTGGTAACCTGCTGTTGAATGCTGTGGTGATTTGTTTTACTTTCACTTAACAGTGTTCCCCGTTATTTCTTCTGGCTTTATTCTTTTACTATAATGTTTGTATTACCTGAGACATTTGTTATCATGAAATGTAGTCATTTCCAGATAATAAGCAAATTAAATGGAAGACAACTTTTAAGTGAGCTAGTATCAGTGAAGCACTTTGAAAATTAAGAAATATTCAGATATCACATATGAACTCTAAAACAGTTATCTCATAAAACTTGAGACGGGGAAGCTAAAAGGGTAAGCAGGATGGGAAAGGTTGGTCAGTGGTTACCAATTACAGTTAAGTAAAAGAAGTTCTGCTATGCAATTGCAGTACTAGGCTTGTCTGTAGATAAGGTTAAAGTGCTCTATGTTTTTTTTTTAAGCTAGAAGAAAGGATTTCAGTTGCTTTTTTCACCACAAAGAAATGATTGATGTTTGAGGAATATATAAGTTGGGTTACTGTCTTGAACATTGCACAGTATATGCATGCACTGAAATATTCAAGGAACCTTCGGGGCTGGAGAGATGGCTCAGCACTGGCTGAGATAGCTGAAGAGCACTGGCTGCCCTTGCAGAGGACTCGGGTTCAATTCCCAGCACCCACATGGCAACTAATAACCATCCATAACTCCATTTCCAGAGGATCTGATGCTGTCTTCTGACCTCTGCAGGCATTGCATGACAAAGTGTACTTACATTCATGCAGGCAATACACTCATACACATAAAATAAAAATAATAAAATATTTTTAAAAATAAGAAAGGAAATATTTAAGGAACCCAATAAATATATAATTTTGTGTAGCATTAAAAAGTTTTAAAAATTATATAAAATGTAAAAGGTATTCTTTCTATGTAAGAGAATGTAATCAAAATTTGAAATATTTCAATTATTTTCTTATTCTTATGAAAAGTCTCAGGGTGGACATGACCACAGTCATCAGCATGCGCACGGGCATGGCCACTCACATGGACATGAATCTAAGAAGTTTTTGGAGGAATATGATGCTGTGTTGAAAGGACTTGTCGCACTAGGAGGCATTTACTTACTGTTTATCATTGAACACTGCATTAGAATGTTTAAGCACTACAAACAACAAAGAGTAAGTAGTTTCCAGTTCATTTTATGAACTACAGCTCTAAATAAAAATCATCTATTTCTGGACTTGTAATTTTTCTTAATTGTTACATTGCTGTGTTGGATATATAAAATCTCATAACTTTTTCTTTCCTGATTCTTGAGATCAAACCCCATCACACCTTGTCTTTTGATAGCTAATTTACAGAGGAAAATCTAACTTTGATCATTGTCACTTTTTGTTGTTACATTTACTTTGGCATTTATAGTCAAGTGTCAGTTTGTTTCATCATACCTAATGATACACCGTTTTGGTTGTTAGCCTTAGCCTGTGCTTTCCCTCCAGCCCCATACCTAATGATTTAAGTAGAATGGGAAACTATTGACAGTTTAAGAATGGAGAGATGGCTCAGTGGTTAAGAGCACTGGGAGCTCTTGTAGAGGACCTGGGTTCAGTTCCCAGCACCTACACGGCAGCTAACAACTGACCTTAACTCCAGTTCCTGGGGATCCAACACCCTCTCTGTGGGTATTGCATGTACATGATGCAGTTACATGCATGTAGGCAAAACACACATATACATAAAATAAAAATACATACCTAAATAAAAATTTTTAAAAATGTGTAAATGGGAGCAAGCTTCATCACTCTTAGGTAAATCTTTCAGTTTGAGGTAACTTTCCCTGTAATATCTTCCAATGGAAAATTTTCACACAGCATCTTTACCAGAAATACTTTGCTAGTCATAATAAACACCAGAAGGAAGAAGTTAGAGCAATAGGACTTGTTTTGGAGATAGTGGCGGGACATGATGGAATCGATACTTTGTAACAACCCTGATTGTTGCACAGCTAGGTATCTGTGTTTGATGTCAAATGTATGAAAATTTCTCCAAGAAAAGAAGTTTAAAACTACAGCCATTTGGTATGATTCACCCCTACCCTGTTCACAATGGAGATATTATATCTGATACATATGTGTCAGTGACATTTGAGATAGTAACACATAGTTTTCCCCAATATATTGTATTTAAGTGAAACTTTCTACAAAAGGAGAATTACAAAATTCTTATGTCTGGCTAACTTCAAAAATATTTTTTTTCCTTTTGTAACTGAGTACTCATAATTTCTTAGTTTTATGGTACATACACACACAAACACACACACACATACACATATCCCTTTGAATCAAAATATGACTTTGAACAGAATTCCGAATTGGGATTCAGTGGAGAGATTCTAGCTTATAGCTGCTACACTGTAGCTCACTCTTCTGATTTCCAGGTACCTTCTAACAGGAGATGAATTTAATTTCTTGTCTGTATTTTTATAACATGTTTCAGCTCCTGTAAGTTACCACCTTTTAACTAGGACATCATCATATTTGGTAGATTGTCTGTAAAGAAGAAGTGATTAAGATGAGAATCCAGTAAATATTATCTGTCGAATGGTGAAAGGAATGAAAAAGATAAGTGACAAACGAAATAGATCTAATTAATTACACTTTGTGTTTGAAGTGTTATATGCAAGGTCCAGTAAGCAGTTCCAGCAGATGAGTGGACAATAAGATAACAGTGAGAGGGGTGCCAAGGCCACGGTGGTTTAAGGAGACTGCTACAGAATCATTTAGAAAGCAAGTGATAGGGGCTTGAACCAGGGTCATAGTGTGAAGAATGGAGAACAGCCAGGCACAGTGGTGCATGCCTTTAATTGCAGCACTCCAGGCAGGTATCTGTGAGATCAAAACCAGCCCCTGGTCTACATAGCAAGTTCCAAGCCAGCTAGCACTATAGGGAGACCCTGTCTCAGAAAGACCAAAAGGTAATAAGAAGTATTTAGATGGGGAAATAAATTATTGATTAGATGGAATAAATGCAGGTATTTAAGAGTCTGTCGCTTAAAAATGACATGAGCATCTCAAAAGATGCAAGAAATGCATTTTGATAAAAAATAATATCCTTTCATGATTAAAAATACTCCTAAACAAATTGAGTACAAAAGGATCGTAGCTCACATAAAAAATAAGCACGCAGCCAACGTGGTGCTAAGTGGGGAAATACTGAAAAGTGTTCCCTAGTATAAACAAAGTAGTGTGTAAGTCTTACTTCAGTAGTTAGACAAAACATAGGATAAAGTCCAATTATCCCCTTTTGCAGAAGATATAATTCTGTACACAGAAAACAACAAAAAAGTCTTATGAAAGACAAGCAGAACTGATAAATGAATTTAGTAAAGCTGCAGGCTACAAAATCAGTGGACAAAAAACCTGCATGACCTGTTAAGAAACCAATCATGAAAGAATTCCTATTACAATCATTACCAGGTTGAAGACCACCATGATCATGCACTCACGCACTGGAAGAATTAATATTCTTGTAATGTACGATCCCCATCAAGACATCAAGTTAGCAGTGACATTCTTCACAGAACTGGAAAAGATTTCCTGAAATTTATATGGGAACAGAAAAGACTGCAGAAACCAAAGCAGTCTTGGACACAAGGAACAAAGTTAGGAGCCTTGAAGCTTCAAAGTTCCTGATTTCAAGATATGCTACAGAGCCATGGTAACCAAACCCAGCAGTAAGTGCTGCCCCAAAATGAATACTGTTGAGCAAAGGTTGAAACTTGATCCTCTTCTTTGCACCTTACACAGAAATCCAAAACCTAACTGTTGGACTAGAAAGTATGAAACTATTGAAGGAAAATGGGGTAAACCTTTCAAGCTGTTGGTATAAACTGTGATTTCAAAAAATGACCCCCAGAACACAGGAAACAAAAGTAAAAACTGACAAATGAGGTTACAGTGACTGTAAAAGCCTCCTGCCTAGCAGAGGAAACTTATCCACCAAGCAGAGACAACCTACAGAATAGGAGAAAATACTGCAAACTGTCATCTGACGGAGGACTCATGTTCAAAATAAGGAGTTCAGAAAAACCTTAACACTGAAATAATCCAATTTAAAAATAGGTAAATGTGTACAAAACATGATCATCATCACTCACCATCGGAGAAATATAAGCCAAAACTACAGTGAGAGGTCCCAAAACGTAGCTTAAAAATAAAGCACTTACCTAGCATGTGATCCCCTGAGAATGATCCCCAGCTTTGTAAAGGCAAACAAGCCACAATGAGAAATCTCTCCAGTCATATCTACTTATCAAATAAACTAAAGAAAACAAGTACTAAGGAGGATGTGGAGAAAAGGAAGGGAATTCTTGCACACCACAGGAAGGAACATAAAGTAGTACAGTCATTATGAAAGCTATCTGGAGATTCCTCAGAAATTTAAAATAGGGGTCTGGAGACATGGCTTAGCAGTCAAGAGCACTGGCTGCTCTTGCAGAGGATCCTGGTTTATTCCCAGCACCCACATGGGGGCTAACAATGGTCCATAACTCCAGTTACAGGGGGTCCAATGCCTCTTCTGACCACCATGACCTGTGCATGGCACAGGTGTACTTACATACATGCAGGCAATACATTCATACACATAAAATAATAATAAATCTACCATATGATCCTGCAATCTCACTAGTACCGGGGCCATATATCCAAAATATGAAAATGAAGTTAGCATGTCAGGGAAGCATCTGCAGTCCTGTGTTTGGCATGGCACTATTCATAATATCCAGGAAATGGAAATAAACATCCACCAGCTGATGAATGGAAAAAGATATTATAGTATATATGCGCATGGAACACTATTCATGCATTAAAAAAAATGAATACTGCTACTTGAGCAACAACATGGTTAGAACCAGCGACTGCTGTGTTAAGTGAAACAAGCTCAACACAGAACAAGAAGCACCACAGGGTCTTTCATTCGTGGAATCTTAAGAAACTTGATCTACAAGTTGAGAGTAGAATGGTGTTTACCAGAGGCCAGGGAGAGTAGGGGTCAGGGATGAAGAAATGTTGATCCGGGAATACCGAGTTACAGTTAGGAACGAGAAGCTAGAGGAAAGGTTCTTACAAATTACTGCAAAGAGAAGATTCATGTTTGAGAAGGTAAAAGTGCTTACCTGCCTTAAACATGCAGTGTGTGCATATATCAAAACATAATATGGCATCCCAGTTTTAATTTTGTAAATTATTAATGAATAGTTTTTAATGCTAAAATAGGCAAATAATAATACTTAAATACACATTGCCAAGAAATACATGGGGGAAAAATGAGCAACTTCATTTGCCTTTAGAGAAATACAAATCAAGATGATTCAGGGACTAAGGATAAAGCTCATTGTAGAGGGTGTGCCTGGCCTTTGTGGGGCCCTGGGTTCAAGCCCCAGCACCACTGAGAAGGAAGAAACCCTCTAATGCGTTATCTCACCCAGTTAGTATAACTGTAATCAATATAATCTTCTGGTAAAGCTATGGAATAGGAAGGACCTCTTGCTGTGCTGGTGAGAAGGTAAACTACTACAGTTACTGTGGAGAGCAGGGCGAAGGCACCTATAAATCTAAACATAGATCTACTGTAGTAATGAGCTGTCTCACTTCTGTGTCCCAAAAAGAAATCAGCTGGGCATGGTGGTACACACCTTTAATCCCAGCACTCAGCAGGTAGAGGCAGGCAGATCTCTGTGAGCTCAAGGCCAGTCTGGTCTGTGTAGTCAGTTCAAAAAAGAAATCACCCTAGAAGTAGTACCTGAGTGCCTATATTTATGCCACACCAAAGAACAAGAAAAAAAGAAAAAAGCCTGCCACTAAAACAATACATATTATAATATTACAATATTCTGCATTCTAGTGGCCAAAATGAGTCAAAAGGCCAGCCAAAATTCAGGGTCCTGGGGAAGAACCATGTCCCAACAGGTGCAGCAGAGGGCAGAAGGAAACGGGTAATGGCTCTCTTTGGAGACTGCTTCACTTCCAAGTAGCTTTGCAAGCTTACTCACACAGCCCTTAGAAGACTTCAACATCTGACTCTAAGTTTATTGCCCACAAGCAGAACCACCAAGCAAGTGCCTGTATCAGGCAGTAAGCACCAACATTTTTAAGATTCTACATGCGAAAGATCATAAATTTATTCATAGAGGACTGAATTCATTTTCAGCTTCTTGTAGTATATTTGCTTCCTTAAATTAACATAGAGGAGAGCAGAAATTGTAGTTGGAAGAGTTGTTAGTGGTAGTTATAGTGATAGAAGCAGTTACTCAGACTGGTAAGTAATGAGAGACCTGATCTATGAACTACAGTGATTGGTACTTTAAGCAGTGGAGGATTAAATTATGGTCAGTGTCTGATTACAAAGTCGTAAGGAAGAACACTTGTCTTTCTTGCTAGGCTGTTAAGAATCACTGATTGTGATTGGTCAGTTCTCACACATCACCTTATTTAATCCTCATAAGAGTCTTACTTCCATTTTAGAAATGAGTTTTATTACATTCGATATTAATAAACTCCTTGCAAGTCTCAGAAGTAAGTGAATTCTAACAGGTTTGACTTTCTTTTGTGTCATACCTGGGGAAATAGGAACTTCTACTTAATAAGGAACAAAATTCAAAGAAATAAGCTTTAAATTTGGAAACTTTCTGCTGCTTTTTACTGTCGTCGAGGTATTACATTTATTTCACACATTACAGTTGGGTTATATAAGATAATTTAGTATTGTGGACTTTATTCTTAAAGTAAATGAAGAGGGCCGGCCAGAAAGGTCAGTAGACAAAGACACTTGCTGCTAAGCCCCCACAGTCTCAGTTCGATCCCCTAAACCCACAGGGTGGAAGGAGAGACTGCCCTTCGGTTGTCCTCTGATCATATATCGTAGCATGCACACACCCACACACATGCAAATACACACAAAATAAAATGTAATAATAAAAACTTTCAAATAATTATGTATAAAGTTAGCACCAGTTGTCCCCAGTAGGTGTTAATAAGGAGATATTATTGCTAATTATGACTGCAGATTTTATACTGATATCAGTTTTTCTTTTCCCCTTAGGGAAAACAGAAATGGTTTATGAAGCAGAGCACAGAAGAATCAACTATTGGAAGAAAGCTTTCAGATCATAAGTTAAACAACACACCGGATGCTGACTGGCTTCAGCTCAAGCCTCTTGCCGGTAACCAACAGCTTTAATGAGAAACTAGCTATACAAAAATTGAAATAGTGTTTTCTAATAGCACCTGTGTTGTTTGAAATTTCTCATATTTGTGATTTCCCTAATACTAGTTTCTAATGTATTCTTCCTTAAATGTGAGTGTATCTTGTGATTTTATTCATTGGTTTATTTTAGGTAATGTCACTGCTATTTATGCAAATAAGACCAGATATGTGAGGAGCAAGTAAAACTCTGAACTTCCTACTTTAGAAATACATGAATTTTAGAAAAGGGGTCAGGCATGGTGGCACACAGCTGTAATCCCAGCACCAGGGAGGCTGAGGCAGGAAGATCCCTAGTTCAAAGTCAGTCTAGACCACTTAACAAGAAATAGAAGCAATAAAATAACAAGCTACTTCCTATTTCAAAAAGCCCATAAAACTCTAATCTGGGCTACCTAGAAAGACTTTGTTTTCTTTTTTCTCTTTATGAGACATGGTCTTATTGTGTAGCTAAAACAATTTTCAGAGAAAAGTAAACGTGTTTATTTAACCTAATTGTTCTCAGTTTATATTCGAACTTCTCTTTTCCCCATAGTGTGTCATTGATTTTTCTGAAGAGGTCAGCCTTCTCTTAACTGTGGAGCTCTGACCCAGAATATAGTTAGGAAGTATCCAGATCTTTGTCATAAAAGAAATAGTCCTGGAAAACAATTTCTTTTTAGAAGCTTATCAGATGTTGTCACTTGTAAGACAAAGATCCGAGTAACCGCTGTTCAGATTGGTGGAGCAGTGGAGAGAGCTTGGCAATCAGTTAACTGTCTGACTTGGGAAAGTTATTTTAACTTTTAGTTGATAGATTTTAGAAAATATTGTTCTAATGGAATGATGCCTAAAAAAATTTTAGGGACATGTATTCACTTAAAACTTTAAAAATACATTCACTTAAGAAGTGCTTATCAGGTTGCAGAGATGGCTCAGAAGTTAAGAGCAGTGACAGGCTGCTCTTGGAGAGGACCCAGGTTCAGTTCCAGCTCACAGTGTGGCTAACAGCTGTTCATAATTTCAGTTCCTGGGAATCCAACACCTTTTTCTGGCTTCTGTGGGCATTGCATGATGTCAGTACATTTATACACATGCAGGCAAAACACTCATACATATAAAATATAAAAATAAACCAAAAAATTTTTAAAGCGTTTATTGTACTATGTTCTGTCTGGGTTTGAATTAGCAAATATGCATACATTTATTTACTTGATATAGTAAATACTCCCTTTTTCTTATGTAGGAACTGATGACTCTGTTGTTTCTGAAGATCGACTTAATGAAACTGAATTGACAGATTTAGAAGGTCAACAGGAATCCCCTCCTAAAAATTACCTGAGTGTGGAAGAGGAGAAGATTATGGACCATTCTCACAGTGACGGACTACACGCCATTCATGACCATGACCTCCATATTACTGCTCACAACCACCATGACGAAAATAAGACTGTGCTGAGGAAACACAACCACCAGTGGCACCATAAACATTCTCATCATTCACACGGCCCCTGCCACTCTGGGTCAGATCTGAAAGAAACAGGAATAGCGAATATCGCCTGGATGGTTATCATGGGGGATGGCATCCACAACTTCAGTGATGGGCTAGCCATAGGTAAGAGACTTGAAACGGGCTTATAGTGTGTTGTTCTTTAAGGATCTATTCCTTTTTTTACTGTATCTCTGCTAATCCTGTGAACTATAAATCATAAGATTAAAATTTATGTAGAACTTTAAAAAATGTCCTGTATACACTGCTGCTGTCATTTGTTTTTTTCCAAATGACGTGGTATATTTGGAAGTCTAAAGGTAAAATTTATAGTTTTTGTTTTTCTGAGGCTAAAATGTCTATAAGTATATATAGTTACATATATATATATATATATATTTATATATACACCATTTCTTTTTTACTATTTATTTGTATGTGTTTGGGGAGGGTTACTGCAGAGGACAGAAGCAGGCATTAGAGCCCCTGGAGCTTAAGTTACAGAGTATTGTGAGCCCTTTGATGTGGGTGCTGGAAATTGAACTTGGGTCTTCTGGAAAAACACTATGTGCTCTTAACCCCTGAACCATCTCTCCAGCCCTATGTAGAAAATTCCCTAAATAACTTGATTACTCATTAAAACACAGTCATCTTGATGAAACTGCTACATTGTATTTAAAATACATCAACACACCCCTAGAAGAGATCAGTTAAATTTCATTCTTGAATTTGATAAATTTTTCACATCTTTGAAAAAGTAAAGTTTTACAACATTAAAAATCCGTTCTACCAAATTCACATATCCTAGAATCTCATTACCAGTTTAGAACATTAATGTACCAATACATCATTTCCTTTGGGATCTAAATTTTATTAATCATTCAGAAATAGGCTTTGAATGCCAGATGTGGTGATACATGCCTTTAACCCCAGCACTCAGGAGGCAGAGGCAGGTGGATCTCTGTTAGATCAAGGCCAACCTGGTCTACATAGTGAATTCCAGGCCTGCTGGGGCTATGGCAGACCCTGTCTATTAAAAAAAAACAAAAAACAACAACAAAAAAAAAACGAAATAGGCTTTGGTTTCTTCAAAAAAAAGAAATAAACCATAATTTATAATCACAGCAGCTGTTAATATTAGAGATAAATATAGCAGCTGTTAATATTAAAGATAAAGGATTATGTTAGTGGAACCAGATCTTACGTACCAATATATGTTTCAAAGCCACAGTGTGAAAGATGGATGAGTCACATACATTATGGAATTAATTTAGATAGAAGAAACATCTCAGTAAAAGGCAGGAGGTCACTGAGCATCACTTACTGTTGTCCTTTAAATTCTCTCCAGGAGCTGCTTTCAGTGCGGGGCTGACAGGAGGAATCAGCACTTCCATAGCGGTCTTCTGCCATGAGCTGCCACATGAATTAGGTAATGAACCTTAATCATCCTATCAGCTCTCAACAACCTAAACCTTCTTCAGTTGCAAAATACATCTAAATTACAGAGCTGTTAGAACAGAAAAAATGCTGGCAAGTGTAGAGTCACTAATGGTAAGGGATATCCTAGTGTAAGAGATGAAGAACACCTGCTTCTTAAAGTGGATGTGCTTTTTGCATCAGTAACAATTAATGCTGTTATGAAGGCTCATATGTGATGACCTGTTCATTGAACATAACTTAAAGGAAGTATCATTTCTCTGATAGCAGATGATGCTATTAACCCTTTTTGATTTCATATGTTTTATAAATTACATTTTTTAAAGAATCAAAGTAAAGCTCATGACTACATAAATGAAAGTTGTAAATAAGCACCTTTACAAATGATGGCGAAATCACATTGTCATCCAAAAAAGTAAGGAGACTGGGATGCAGTCTCAACTGTCACTAACAAGCTCTGAGATATTGGAACGGTTGTTACTTTTTTTATTTTATGTGTATGAGTGTATTGCTTGTATGTAAGTAGGTGCACCTTTGTTGTGCAGTGTTGTGGAGGTCAGAAGAGGGCAGCAGATTCCCTAGAACTGGAGTTACAGTTGTTAGCTGCCAGGTGGGTTCTGGGAATCGAACCTGGGTCCTCTGTAGGAGCAGCCAGTGTGCTCTTAACCACAGAGCCATCTCTCCAGCCCCACAATTGTTAATTTCTAATCCTTTCTTATTTCATCTATAAAGTTAGAGGTTTGAATGATTTCTTAGGGGGGGGTTAATTACCTAATCCAAATATTCAAAAATTTTTTATCTGATTTCTTACATAATTTTAATAAAGTACAGCCTAATGCCTTCAAAATAATTTAAAACCTTTTTTTCAATGTTTAATGTTTTTTACCTATTGATAGACACTGCTATAATCTCAACATACAAAAATTTTTTGTTTTGTGTGGGTTTTCTTGTTTTTTATTCACCTACAATTCCCTCTCCTATTATGTATAATCATTATGTTATGTTTATTATATAATTGTTGCTCTGTATTCTAAAAACAGAGGTTTGGGGGGTTTTGTTTTGTTTTTCTGTATAGCCCTGGGTAGCCTAGAACTTGCTACGTAGAGCAGGCTAGTGTGAAGCTTGTGGCGATCTCACCTCCACCTCCCATGTGTTGGGATTACAGGCATGCACCAGCACACCTAGCTCAGACTCCCTTCTTGATATTGAGTGATGTGTTTCATATCACATTTTGATAAATTAACCATATTGTTTAAGGCTTGGTTCAGATACTATATAATGACATTTTCCCATTCCTCTCAAGAATATTAAGGATTATACTTAATTCAAAATATGTTCTCCATAATGAACTTAGTTGTCCAAGGAAAACTGGACATTCACTGTATAGATGTATATAGAGTTTCAGTGTGTTTACAGTTAGTAAAAAGAACTTTAAAGTATACTCTTTAAAAATCTCAGTATTTATTGTTACCAGCTATTAACATAACCATGTCTTTGGATCACATCCATTAACAGCTTTGGCATGTACACCTCATTTGTTGTGCTAATTAATCTCTACTCAGAAAGAATATTGATTTATCACATTATGAGAGTTTGCACGCTCAGTGTAAATGTCAGTTGTAGGGAATCCATTGACCTATTTCTAAAATATTTATTCAGGTTCTTGAGAAAGAAGGTAGTGAAAATGCTTGGAACTTTCTGAGACTTGAAATAAAAGACTCAAACAAACAGATTTTAAGTGAAATATTTTGCTTTATACAAAGATTATTATGTAGTATAGTCCTGCTAGCACCAAAGCATGACGTATTGGGCTTAAATCTAATGCAGTATATACATGGAATCTGTACACTAAAAACTGCCAGTCACCAACAAAAATCATAGTTGGCTTAATGAAGAAGGGGCACAGTAGGCTCATGGACTAGAGGACTCAGTGTCGTTAAGATGTTAAGTATTCTTTATATTCCAAAACCAGCAGGTTCTTTGCAGAGATTAATAAGCTTTTAAAAAGATAGATGAAAATCTGAGTCTCTAATTAGGGTGCAGTCTTGAGGGTCCAGGGCAGGGAAATGTAAGGAGATTTGTAAGAGATGGGAACTAGAGACTAGCAGTTTTGAGGCCGTTAGAAGATATTTTAAATTTTCAAATAAATAGAATAAATAATTTGAAAATATTTTTTTTCTCTAATGATGGCAGTTTGTTGGAATATGGAAAAAATAGCACTTCGGAGTAATTTCTTGGCTGTTAACTTTTGCAGCAGACTAGAACTCTGTAGCAATGAGAGTCACAGAATAAATCATGTGTTTTTAGATAGTAGATTTTAAGGTCTTTTGTAACAACTTGCATATTCCAAGTGTTCACTGATTGGATGTTTGAATGGCTAATAACTAGAACAAAGAAAAAACTGTTACTTTAACTAAAGCTCTCCCCAGGGTTCAACTTTAGAGGGTGAGGGAAAAAAGGCTTTCTTCTTGGCTTCTCTATACTGCCATTTTTATTGTTGTCGTCCATTAAAGCATTCACTTATAAGCTCTAGAAAAAGAACCCTAGGAGTCTCCTCTGTGCAGGTGCTTGCCCTCTGCAGTACTGTGGGTGATCTTTCGAGCCTCAGCCAGGCAGTCATGTGTTCTGTCATGGACGCATGCAAGATACTGGAAAAAATAAAAATAAAAATTTCTTGCATTTTTTTGTATTCTCAGAATTAAGGATTTTTTTAATTCTGAAAAAAATAATGTAAACACAACATAAAATAGACTTTAGGAGGCCGTTATCTCTCTTCTAACTGTGGCCATTTGTGACGGAAGAGCAAAAGTGAGCTCTTAACGGCTACTTTAAAAAGAGCACTGGTAGGGGCTGGAGAGATGGCTCAGTGGTTAAGAACACTGACTGTTCTTGCAGAACTGTTCTTGCGGGTTTGAATCCCAGCACACACATGGCAGCTAACAACTGTCTGTGACGCCAGTTCTAGGGGGATCCCAACAGTCTCTTCTGTCCTCCGCAGCATTGCATGATATGGGTGCACTTACTTACACGCAGGCAATACATGCATACACATAAAATAAAAATAATAAATAAAATATTTTAAAAAGAGCACTGGCTTATTTTTTTTCTCCTATATTTTTCTGGATATTTTTAAGGCTTACATTTTAATATGGTAAAATTGATTTTGTATATACAGTTCTTTGGATTTTAGCATGTATAGATTTTTATAACTACTATCACATTCAAACCCCTATCCCCTGCTGTTATTAATGATGTTTTTATAATGTATTCTTAATTTTTTATTCAAGCTTTTTTTTTCCATTGAAGGTTTAAAATCCCATGGTTTTAAGCTTTCCCATTATGTCTAAATTGCAGGTGATTTTGCAGTTCTTCTTAAAGCAGGCATGACCGTAAAGCAAGCAATCGTATACAACCTCCTCTCTGCCATGATGGCCTACATAGGCATGCTCATAGGCACAGCTGTTGGTCAGTATGCCAACAATATCACACTCTGGATCTTCGCAATCACTGCAGGCATGTTCCTCTATGTAGCCTTGGTGGATATGGTAAGATGTTTTATGTATTTTTCTGTTGTACTGAACTTGCATGTAGAATGCAGCTTCCAGAAATGGAGGAAATCTTTGGTAGCAGTTGGAAACCGAACTAATTCTTAGAAATATTGACTGATTTTAAAGACACATAACATTTTAAAGAATCAGTTAGGGAAAGGCATTTGCTTTAGAAGGATTCCTTTCAGGGAATCAGTTGAGATGCTGAAAATTTCTGACCAACCAATGTCACTACTCAAGTAATCATCAATAGATTTAAAGATAAAATCACAGAATAAGGATGTTACGTAGGAAATTTGTGATATTGGAGTGGAAACATTTTGTTGCCATTGTTTATGGAATCTTTTGAGGCTGCTTTATGGCCAAGAGGAAAGAAGGTGACCTGTTAGCATACCAGTCTTCATTTTTAACTTTAGATTAAGGTTAATAACACCAGTAGTTATTTTCATTTTCATTTTGCTTTAATACTCCAATTATGTTAGACAGTGTTTCTACAACAGGGCCAGCAGTTTGGTAAAATTTTATTTTTAACTAGCTATTACATTCACTTTTTTTCCTGGTAAGATCTATCCCATAGTCTTAGTCCCTCAGATTTAATCACAGAAATATTTATTACAGAAGGTAATAAAAAGTATATAAAGTTAGAAATAAAAATAGATGTTCTCCTATCATCTCAGACCCCTTAGGGCCTCATTTTCTGTCCTCAGTCCTTGGCTGGTGACTTGCTTCCTATCCATGAAAAACACTACATCAAGACAACTTCATAAGTGTCCATCAGTCTTCTACTCCCCTCGATGTATTCCTTCCCCTTCCCTCTTTCCCCTTCTCATCCTCTGCTTTTCTTTGCTGTCTCCCTCCGTCCCTTCTTTACTTCCTTCCCTCCCTTTGGTACAGTCTCTTCACCATGTTCTAGAAAAGGCCAGCTCCTTCAAATTGTTCCTGGAACTCTCCCTTTCTGCTAATGCCCTTAAGAGCTCTCTTCTCCATCCTGCATCATTTTACCCCGGTAATGGATTATTTCTATTATCATATGAACTCTATCTTTGCTTCTCTCTTCCAAAAAAAAAAGTAGCAGAGGAAAGTATTAATCTCAGTTCCCACTTTAACCCCTATTATTTTCCTTCCAGCTTTTAGCAAACTACCATTTTCTAAAGCCTATTTTCTGTTTGTTTGTTCATTTATTTTTGAAACGGTATCTCTTGTAGTTCAGGCTAACCTCTAACTCCCTGTGGAGCAAAAGATGACTTTGAATTTCTAATCCTCCTGCCTCCACTTCCCTAGTGCAGAGATCACAGGGATGTACCACCACACTCTGGTTTTTGTTTCGTTTTGTTTTGTTTTTAGTATAGAATCACCAGTTTTCTCTGTGACTGCTCTGCCATAGCTACTCTTTTTTTAGATTTGCTTTGCCAATGATGTAGCTAATGCCACTGGTCATTTCCATTTCCTAACAGCAGTGTTTTCCAGGTAAGCCATCTTCCCCCTTTGAACTGGTTTTTTTATCAGTAGCTTTCTGTGACCCTAGTTTCCTGACCTTCTTGTGACTTTCTTGGCTTTTTCTTTTCCAATCTTCCCCTGCCTCTAATGGTGGCAGACAGCCTATGAGTCATCTCACCACCTTCCTGTCAGTACTGATTGCTGATTCGTATGTCTCTAGCATATACCTTTCCTTGAGCTCTGGGCTCATCTGTTTACTTTTAAGAGTACCTGAGATGCATTGCACACTTGCCCTGTTCAGAACCCAACTCTTGAAATGTGCTAACCTTTTTCCTTCACCAGCATTCATACAGTTTCACTGTCTCATAAGTGACCACCACATTCTAGTTGCTGAGATAGAAAACCTGAGGATCATCCTTTTGCCACCATGTAGCTCTACTTTCTCACTAAATCCTAAGACCTCTGCCTGCTGACTACCTGTGCCCCACCACCTGCATCAAGTCCCCATCATCTTTCTCCATTCAGCTGTCCTCCCTCCTTCTATCCTTGCCCTAACAACCACACTGTTAGCACCTCAGCTAGAATGATCCAGCTAAGTCAGGGACATATGACACTTAGTCCTCAAACCCTTCAATCCCATCTAAGAATAAGATGCCTAAGATTCATACTTTGACCTGCAAGATTTGTCATCATTGTTGAATATTTGTGTTCTCTTCCCTTCCTTAATTTTCCCAACCTTGCTTCATTTCCTCCCTCTTGCCCCTTATGGCACACTGTCCTCAGGGTGGAAACTCTGGCTTTCTGCAGACCTTCTTGTGCCTAGCTCCCTTACTTCCTTCTCAAGAGGCACCTGTATTAGTTGCTTTTCTGTTGCTGTGATAATATGCCATGACCAAGGGAACTTACAGGAAGAAGAGTTTATTTGTGCTTACAGTTCCAGGTTCCAGAAAGATTAGAGTTCATCACGGCAGGGAGGTATGGTAGCAGAAGGTGGCTGGAGCAGGAGCAGAAAGCTAAGCTCTCACATCTTCAAGCAGGCATAGGAAGCTGAGAGTGACTGGAGATCCAGCAAGGCTTAAGAACTCGCTAAGCCCACCCCCAGTGACATGCTTCCTCCAGCAAGGCCACACCTTCTAAGACTTCCCAAAACAGCACCACCAGCTAGGGACAAAATGTCTGGATACTTGGAACCTATGGGGGACATTCTCATTCAAACCACCACAGCATCCTATATAAAAGTGCAGTCTGCTTCTTAGAGTTACACTGTTTTGCTTTTTCTCCCAGTATTTGGATCTTGATCTATTGATGACACATGTTTTACTTATTTATCAAGTTGACTGTTTTTCTCATAAGGAGTTGGCTCTGAAAGGACAGGCATTATTGTCTTATTTCATGTTCAGCTAGAAATTATTCCCAGTTACTGTGACTGGAGGCTAGTGGTCTGATTCTTATGCTAGGATCTAGAGATAGAGATATTTTATAATTAGAATTTGTGGTTTTAATGAAGAAAAGATGCCGTTAATTCTAGTTCTCCCGGTGTGTGTTAGAATAGAGCAATGTGCCATGTTTATGGAACTGCAGTGATGCTGGCTTAAAAAGAAAACTAGGGAAATTTTGTTTTGCTTTTCATAACAGGAAATCTGGGCTTAATTTTAAAGAATGTAGAAGAGTTTATTGGAAGCAAAGAGAAAGGTGTTTGAGGAAACAAGATGATGAATAGCAAAATTCCTTTGGCCATAAATCTACTCCTGTGATTGTATTCTGTATTGTATTCTGATGTATCCTGTGATTTCATTCTGAAAATGACATCTATTTATAAAATAAGCAGGCAAACAGAAATAAAGTACTACTATTCTTTGCAGTGACACAATTATGTAAAAAAATGTTCAGGCAAAAGGAAACAAGCCATCTGCATATATTTCCTAGCACTTTATCAATACCAAAATTATTATTTTTCTAATGTTGTCCTAGTTACTTTCTATTGCTGTGATAAAAGACTAGCCAAAACCAACTCGGGAAGGAAAGGGTATATTTGGCTTACAAATCACAGTCCATCATCAAAGGAAGCCAAGACAGGAACTCAGGGCAGGAACCTGGAGGCAGGAACTGAAGCACAAACTATAGGGGAACACTACTTACTTGCTCAGCCTGCTTTCTTAGGCAATACAGAACCTCCCCAGTGATGGCACTGCCCATAGTGGGCTGGACCCTCCCACAGACATGGCCACAAGCTAATCCAATGAAGGAAATTCCTCAATTGAGGTTCCTTCCACCCACGTGTGTCAAGTTGACAACTGAAGCTATCCAGCACAATTAACCCCTTATTAACCTGACATACAAACAAACACATCACTATTAAACCACAACTTTCCATTTTTTGTCCCTAAGATATGATGTTAATATCAGTAATCACAGTATAAAACAGTACAACTTTAAAAGACCCACAGTCTTTAAAAAGCCCCTTAACTGTGGTCTCCTTTAACAACTGTCCATAATAACTCCAGTCCCAGGGGATCCGACAGCCTCTTCTGACCTCCGCGGGCATTACACGACACGGTGCACTGACTTACATGCAGGCAATACACGCATTCACATAAAATAAAAATAATAATAAAAAATTTTAAAGACCAAACAAGTTAAATACTATCTCATTTCAAACGGGAAGAATTGGGCACACTTATGTAAAACCAACGTCCAGCATGTAGTTCAGTGTGGGCAGCTCCACTTCTCTGACTCTGCCATTTACAGTACATGCTGCTTATCTCCTAAGTTCAGGCCAGCTCTACTCCACATCTGCTGTTGCCCTTGATGGTTGTCCAGTGGTCCTGGTATCTCCAATATGCTGGGGTCTCATCTGCAGCAGAGGGTGCACCTTCACCAATGGGCTCTCCTGGCCTCTCAGAATGCCAAGCCTCAGATTCTCTCCGTGACCCCTTCAGTCCTGGAGGTCTTCACTGCAACTGAGGCTGCACCTTCACCAGTGTACTCCTGGCTTCTCAAAGTGCAAAGCTTCCGATTCTCTTAATGACCCCTTAACACCGTCAACACCAGTACTACCTGGGAGACTTGTACATTAACCAAGTTCTACTGCCAATTTGATGTTTAGCCTTGGTCCCCTCTGGACCATAGCTTCTGTGTGCTGACCCTGAGGAAATACTTCCCAGATGCTGGCCTCTCATTACAGCTGATTTTTTAGCTCCAGCTGACCAGCATCAAATTTCCCATCTATTCAAAATGTATCAAACATCCCTGATAAGAGTCTTTGTTTCCCTTTGAAGCTACACAAGCCAGGCCTCCATCATCTGCACCTGTTTCAGGATTATCCTCCAAGTTCTCATAGAACAACTCACTGGGCTCCAAGCATTCAATGACTTTTCCAGTCCCAAACTCCAAAAACTTCCACAAAACAATTGGGTGAGGTCTGTCTCCACTCCTGGTACCAATTTCTACCCTAGTTTTACTATTCTATTGCTGTGATAAAAGACTGACCAAAACCAACTTGGAGAGGAAAAGGTTTATTTCTCTTATAGCTCACTGTCCATCACCGGAAGTCAAGGCAGGAACCTGGAGCACAGACCATGGAGGAACACTGCTTCCTGCTTTGCTTTCCTGGCCTGTGTTCAGCCTGCTTTCTTACACAAGATAGGGCCACTTGCCCACAGGTGGCACTGCCCACAGTGGGCTGGGCCTTCCTACATCACTCAACAATCAAGATGCCCCACAGGCATGGCCATGGGCCAGTAAAATAGAGGAAATTCCTCAGTTTGAGGTTCACTCTACCAAGGTATGTCAAGTTGACGACTGATGCTATCCAACACAAATGTAAAGTAGAAAAATTGTAAAAATAATATCCAAGACTGACACAATAGTTTAGCAGGTAAAGGGGCTTGCCATCAAGCCTGATGATCTGGTTTCCCCCACCCCCCAGGTCCCATGTTGTAGAAGGAGAGAGCCAACTACTGCAGCTGGTCCTCTGACTGCCACAGTGTGCTGTGGCATGTGAAGTTATGTGCATGTATGTCCCTGCCTACATATGCAGGCACATACCCTACAACGCAGGCACGTACACCACAAACGTACAATAAAATGTAATAAAAGATTTTAAAAGAAAAACACCCATATTGTCACTAAGTAGTGTTGGTCAGATGGCAGCCATCTTGTGAACTTCAGCAAGCATGAAAAATCTTTGGCAGTTGAGTGACATAACTACATCTTTATTTTAGAAACACCACTTTGACCAAAGGGAGGAAGTTTTGTTCATCTAAAGCATTTGAAGCCACTCTGGAAGAGACTGGCAATACCAGAAGCTTTATTTCAGGCACCTAAATGACAACCCTTTGGAGAGACCTGCTTTTAAGGGACTTTAGGCAGAGCTCTTTAGCAACTTCTATGGAGATAATCTTTATTTTTGCTTGTGTTTGTTTGTGGGGTTGGTAGGCAATCGGAGGTCCTTATGAATGCCAGGCAAACTGTACTAGAGTCACACCTCCAGCCCCACTTTGGTGGACTTTAATAAGAACAGTGTACCAACAGGCACTGGCTGGCACGTCACTGCGGTTATGACAGACAAAACGTCTGTTGGTCTGTTGGCATTCAGAACAGAAGCCATGGTGGAGAGGGCACCCCTCTGGTCCTTGCATTCATATATCTACCAGAAGTGGCTCTTGAAGCCTTCTATTCATTGTTTATGCTTAAATATTGAGGAAAGTCAGAACAAAGAAAATTCCGTAACAATAAAACTTAGGGAAAAAGAGAGATGATGTAATAAAATAGTCACACTAGAACTGGATGTAGGAAGCTGCCAGAGTGTTAACTTCACACATTTTCAGTGGTTGCTAAGATCTGTTTCTTCTTCCAGCTCCCAGAAATGCTGCATGGCGATGGTGACGATGAAGAGCATGGCTTTTGTCCAGTTGGACAGTTCATCCTTCAGAATTTAGGATTGCTTTTTGGATTTGCCATAATGCTGGTGATTGCCCTCTACGAAGACAAAATTGTGTTTGACATCCAGTTCTGACCATTCCCAGTGATCTTTGTTGATTGCGAGAATGTTCCATACAGCTTGCATCTGTTCCTTGTACTGTATGCACGTTGCTCAAAGAGAAGTCAGTGGCTTGCACTACTTACAAGTTCCATAGATTTGAGCCTAACCACAAAAGACTGGTGCTCAGTACTGTTTTCTCTGCATGAATGAGTCTTTTAAAAATATAGTTTGTGATAATGACAGGAGAAAATGGGACTCCATGAACCAATGTTAATATAAGTTTGATAAGACTTTTAAAACAATAATCATATAAAACACTAGTCTTTTTATTAGTAGAAACTTCTGTGGCTATGCAGAAATAGATACTGAACCAAAAAATCATTTAAACTTTAAAAATATTTTAAATGGACTTTGAGCAGACAATTTTTGTGTGTGCTAAGAATGAATAATTTTAGTGCCCTTTAATTCAGTTACATATATACATGCGGGATTAATAGGGATCAACTTGACACAACTTTGAAAATGTATAAAGTAGACTTTAGGAGCTAGAGAAAAGCCCAGGCTGCATTAGTATATGAATTTAGCATTGGGAAAAGCCCTTATTCTTGAATCTAGAGTTACTATTTTTGTATATATTTGCATAGGGTTTAAACTTGCAGCCTAAACTACTGAACTTTGTGATTGTATGTTTGTGTGAGCTTCAGTTTAATGAAAGAAACATAATGGTTCTTTGTATTATTATAATACTTGGTGTTTGGGGTTATTTTCTGTGTTTTTTTAACTTTAATTTTGTTTTTATTTGGGGGCGGGTCAAAGCATGTAGTTAGATGCTTTTTCCTTCAAATTACAACTCTAGAAACTATCAAAGAACAGGCGTTCAATTTTCCAAGTACTAAGTACGTTAATTGGGACATTTAAGTCCGAATGTTGATGTTAACTTTACCAGTTTGGCATTGAAACTCAGAGCACATGCTGTGGCTGGCAATAAAGTTGTAATGCAGAAAATCCAAGTTTACCAGGTTTATAATCTGTATATGACCTATCAAGTAAGCAGTTACCAGGATGAACCACACTGATACCACAGCTAGTATGGTACCAGTTAAATGACTAAGCCAACATCCCTTGATGCATTGTGCCAAGATACTAACACTGTGGGTGCCTGGTAGGGAGTAGTATATGTTTCGGGTGACTGTTCGTATATCACCATTACAGATGATTTGTGAGAAGTGCAAGCCATGTTTATCCTGAGTTTTGACTCAGTGATTTATAGTATTAGTTATCTGCATGTAGCTCTCTGTTTACATCTTCTGCCTCTTGATTTTCATTTATGCCAGGTAAACTATTTCTGAACTGTGTGCAGCTAGCTTTATTTTCGTCTGCTTGGCAGCCAGAATAGCCCTTTTAAACCTTACCATTCAAAACTGTAAGAGCCAAACCCTTTCCATTCCATTTTAAATGTTTTCATTTAGCTCTTCTTCCTTCTCCAGTTCTTTTCTTACTCTGTGAATATTTTAAAACAGAATTGTGAGAGCAGCACATGCATCCAGGTATCAGCAGGTCAGCACCAGTGTTTCTTCTTCGTATTACAAGCCGAGGAGCTTGGGTTAAAGTTACTGCTTCTGTAATTTATGTTTGGATTTGAAAATTGTCTTTGACTTTTCCTGTGCCCTCCTTGTAGTAAATAGTTTTGTATACCAGTTTTCAGCACTGGGCACTGAACTAGAACAGTCCTCACCTCACCACTTGGCCCTTCAAGCAACCTTGCTTAAAGGTGCTGGCATTTTACTTAGTACTGCCAACTTCAAGTGAGTCACATATCTTGCTTTCAGAACCAAGATATATTTATAGCTCACTTTGGAGTTTTATACCCAAGGAGGATTGTACATTCCAGCATTAAATCTGTTTCATTTAAAAGCAACAGCTAGAATGAATATACTCTCAGTCATGAGTGCCTCATTTAAAGCCCATCGGTTATGCTACAGTATATAAAGTTTTATATTCTCAAAAAATGGTATTATCTTTATTTGCTAGCTTTTCTTAACCTTTTAGGAGGGCTTTAATAGTTGCTGCTAGTATTTTGATAATGTTTCACCAATATTTAGTTTTTACTTCATTCTAGTGTATAGTTTTCAGATCTTACTAGACAACCTTAATTCCACTACATTTCTGTTTGGCTCCAGCATTCCACTTAGCTTGACCAGTCTAGTTTTGACATGTGTTTGTTGGAGGTCGTCAACGTTACTTGTCCAATGCTGTCACCATGTGACATCCATATGAATTTTGGTGTATATCACATTGCACTCAATCAGCTGTGATTATGCTTAGAAATATGATATAGTAACTAGATGCAGTGTGAACTTTTTCCATTAACAGTACGTCAGTAGCTTAAATGTGATTATGGTCCTGCAAGGTGATACATACTAAAATATCTGAACTTTTTTTGTTGTAACAGAATCTTTTTTTTTTTTTTAATTTTTTAAGCTGGAAGTGATCAAATGCTGTTTTTTTCATTGTCAGCAGTGGTGTGTCACTTTATGTATGTTCCTGATGCTCATGGAACTCTCCCAAAATAAAGTTACTCAAAAAGAGAAAGTATATTAGTGTGTTTTCTTTTTTAAAAAAAAATGTAATTATTTTATGTATAAGAGTGTTATGCCTGCATGTATGTAAGTGCACCCATATTGTGCAGTGCCCATGGAGGTCAGAAGAGGGTCTTGGATTCCCTGAGACTAGATTTACAAACTGTTGTTAGCTGCCATGTGGATGCTTGGGTCCTCTACAAGAGCAGCCAGTGCTCTTAACCACTGAGCCATCTTTCCAGCTCCCAGTGTGCTTTCTTTAGTCTCTGTTTCAGATCACTTCCTTACAGAATAGATCATTTTAGTATTTTAAGTAGGCCAGAATAAGTTCACAACTAAGAATGTTAGTCAAGTTTATTTAAGCAAAAAAAAAAAAAAAATTAACAGTAAAATATGTTCTCAGTCTAATAAGAAGAAGGAACGAAGTGATGACACCTTCAGATCATGAGTTAAGTTGACACAGCAGAGCTACACCCCGTCCAATCCAGTGCTCCTTGGGCTGGTCAGAGGGAAGAGTCATGGCAATCACAAAATTTGTGGAGTGGCCAGTGGTGGATAATGTTCCTCTCCGTTCACTTGTCTTGTACAGTGGGGCAACATAACTCGGTCGTTCTGGTATGTCTATCCTCTTACAAGGCTTTAGCCACATCTGGAAGAAAGTGCAAATACCTCTTTAGGTCAGAGCTGTTACACTTAACAAATATTTGCACCGACACGATATTCTCAGAGTAAGGTTACATCTGAAAATCTGTGGCACAAATAGATTTCATTTTTGTCAGCAGTGCTATGATGGCTCAGAATATAAAAACATAACTACCTGCAGAACCAGTTTAGAAAGTAAGAAGAAAAAAAGTTATCCACTTCCCTGTTCAAAACATATTACCCAACTATTTGTCCCCTTCTCCACCATGTTTGTCTGGAAGTGACTTTTGGTGCTTACAATAACAAAGCAAAAATCAGATATATTTTCAAAGGAGAGAATTGCCACTATTGATACTGAAAATCATGTGACTTATTAAACCAGTAATAACAACAACAACAAAAAAATCTTTTTTTAGTAATAGCTAACAATCACCTCCCCAGTACGGCAGACTTTTAAAATGGATAAAGGGCCAGGCAAGATGGCTGAACACAGGCACTCACCTGCTCCTCCACAAAGAAGAGCTAAAGCAACAAGCAATAGCATAGAGATCCAGACTGAGATGAAGAGCCTGCGAGAATGCCAGTTTGCAGTAGGAAATGAGGAACCTCATAGAGTTCAGATCAGAATGGCAGCAGAGAAGAAAACAGAACAACTCATCTGCTACGCCAGTGCCACAGCCCTGGGAGAAATCTCACCTCCATGGGGTGTAGGTGAAAGAGCCCCATCCAGGCCCTTCCAGGTTTATATCAAACAGCTAAGAGACCTGAACGCCATACAGAAGTTTGCTTTATTCCCCAGCAGGCCCCCAGGGTGCTATACCCAGTAGCCATCCTAAGAAGGGACCTGATTGACATTGGATTGGTCTAAAGGTCAGAAACTCTCATATACTCCCATCTCTGGAATTGCCACAGACATTCTACCACATTGGCCTAGCAGGTTACTCTCAGCATCCAAACTCACCAAGAGTGCTTCACAGTGGGGAACAGGTGTGACACAGGGAGCTGAGGGTGGCCTCCACAAGAACCAGGATGTCAAGAATCCTGCCCCTAATGTGGTAAGCTGTGTGTTACGGAGGGCAGTTATGCTGGGGTTGCCCTCAAAGCACCAACATTGGTGCCTTGACATTAGGTAGGGGAGAAAATAGTCTGATGCCCCTGCCACAGAGCACCTGGACACTTTCAGCAGTGCCACCCTGTCTCCAGCTGTAGGCTTATCCTTGAAGTACAGCCCAGAAAGAAGAAACTGCCCAGTGCTGCTGTGCCACTACACATGAAAGTATTGAGGGTGAGAAAAGTCCCTTTATGTTGGTCCAGCCTCTACAATAAGAGGTGTAGGTAGAAACTGCCTACCATACATTCTGCTCCCAGTCCCTCCTGAGAGAATGCTGGAAGAGGGATTTTTACCTGACCTCAGTCCTGACTCCTGCTCAGTCCCTGGCTGGCACTCACTATACCTGAAACAGTGTAGGAGAAAAGTCCCAGGGTCACATCACCCTATCCCCTGAATACCCAGCTGGGGATAGGTACGGGAATCCAAGGTCCAACTGCTGGGCAGGCACACCCGAAGTAATAGCAGAGAAAGATAACTACTTTTCCTCCACTTCCATGGTCCCTATGCTGGAGCCCAGCATCAGCTGCCCCACAATCATCTAGTTCACAAACTTGACAAGAGGATGAATACCACAGAGGGGATGTGATAACTCCTGTCCCTGTCACTCCCCATAAAACAGCAGGAACTGTGCAGTTTGTAATCAGAAGACAGTGCTCAGGTCCCTCACCACTACTGGAGCAGCCAAGATCAGGGACCATTAAAGTACTACAGTCAGTATCCACAGTGCCTGAGGAAGCCCCTGTCACCCAGTAGGCACATCATTCCCACTGTGGGAGTAACTATATGGAATACACCGTTCACTCTGCTATCTACTCCATACCTTTCTAGACTACTAGTGTCCCACTTTTGGGTGATCCGTACACAGTGGCTCTCAGACTCTATACCAGTACGTATGTGCTCTGCCCAAACTTACTAAGTCAAAGAAGCCACAGGAGATTACATTGCATTACCTAGCTGTAAATAAACTCAATATTGCATAGTGAACTGATACACCAAGACACATGTTCAAAAGCAAGTCCTATTCTAAAAAGCCAATTCCACAAAATGGCACAGATACTCATTTCATCAGAAGTACAAATCTCCACACAAGAAATAATAAAAACTCTGATACCACCTAAAGTTAACTCCCTAGTAGCAGATTCCAAAGATACTGAGGTTGATGAAATGCCTTATGAATTCAAAAGAATCATTATTAAGTTTAGTGAAATGTTTTGGGATACTGGTGATTTGGTAGTGTTTGCCTAGCATGTATGAAAAGCCAGGTGGCACTTACTTATAATCCCAGCATTTGGAAGATGGAAATAAAAGAATCAGGAATTCACAGTTACCCTCAGCAGAGAGCTTAAAGCCAGTCTGGGCTAAATGAGACCCTGTCTCTAACAAACAAACTCAGTGAGATCCAAGAAGATACAAAATAAATTATAATACAAAGCAAATTACAAAACAAATTTAGGAGAACAATGCAGATGTGAGTGAGGAACTCAACAGAGACAAACAGTACTCTGAGTTCAAGGTCAGCCTAGGTTATTTATTGAGTTCTAGGCCAGCCTGGGTTACAGAGTGAAATGTTATCTCAAAGTAAATAGACAAAACAATTTCATCTAAAAGTCTCCAGAGCACACTGGCTTAAGCAGATACAGAAAGAACATTGGTTTTTCATAATATCGTATTCATGTATAAATAAAACAAAGAATGAGAAGGCTACAAGATCTTTGTAGCATTACTAAAAGCTCAAATTCCTGTGTCATTGGCAGGCTTGAAGGAGAAGAATAAAGACCTAGGGTACAGAAAATCCACTCAATAAAATAGTAGCAGAAAGCTTCCCTAGTCTTTGAAAAACATGGATATTCAGGTACAGGAAGCCTGTAGAACTCCAAACAGACCTGACCAGAAAAGATCTTCACAACATAAACATACTAGGGTCAAGTGGCCAAAGGTATAGTACAAAGTAGTAGTTTGGTTGTATATGCATGTGTGTGTGTGTGTGTGTGTGTGTGTGTGTGTGTGTGTGTGTGA